CTGAGGTCACAAGCTGTAGAGCTGGATGAACACAGCAGGCCAAGCAGCAGAGGAGCAGGAAGGCTGACGTTTCGGGCCTAGAGAAGGGTCCAGGCCCGAAAAGTCAGTCTTCCTGCTCCTCTGATGCTGCTTGGCCTGCTGTGTTCATCCAGCTCTACACCTTGTGACCTCAGATTCTCCAGCATCTGCAGTTTCTGCTATCTCAGATACTGAGGTCGTTTGTCTTTTTAACATGTCACAGCTGTCATGAGATACTGTTTCAGAAGGTGTTTGGTTCCTTTTGAGCACCTAATTTGCCTCTGAGCCAGTTCAAGCACTTGCATTTGAAAAACGTTGCTTCACCTTCACTGATACAGTGTGAAGGTTGAACATCGATGGTTTGGGTATTGAATGTTGGATTGAACATCCAGCCTGATATATCTCCATTTTGTGGGAAAGACTAAGCTAAGAGCCAAAAATATAAGATGGTAAGTAATAAATCCAACAAAAAGTTCCCGAGAAATGTTTACTCAGGTAGTGAGAATATGACACTTAGTTTTGTTATTTACCACAAGATACTAAGTGTAGGGAAACTGCACAAGATGAATGAGAAAGAAAGGGATGAGAGGATTTGGTTTACTGACATGATTGGCTGAGATGAGCTGTGGGCTCCTGTGGAGCATTACTGTCCAGGATGGGATTGAGGCAAATGACCTGTTTCTGCTAAGCATGTAGGAACAAGAGTAGACTGTTTAGCCCATTGAACCTGCCTGATGTTCTAGATCATTGCTCATCATCTCTGTGGGAAAGCGGCACTATTTCCATATCCTGTAATGCCATTAGTCTCCATAAACCCAGCATTTGTCTTAAACCTGCTCAATGACTGAGCTTCGCCAACCCTCCAGGGTATAGAATTCTCAAGATTCACCACAGCCTGAATAAACTCCTCTCTTTCTCGGTCTTGAGTGGCTGACCCCTTCAACTTGAAGATGTGCTTCCTGGTTCTAGAGTCACAAGCCAGGAGAAGCATTCTAAGAGTTTTGTAAGTTTCAATTAGATCAGTCTTTTAGTTTTTACAAATTGTAGAGAAGACAGACAATTTCCTCATTCCTCATAAGGCAGTCCTGTCATCCCAGGAATTCATCTGATGAACCTTTTTTTTTTTTTTGTTGCACTCCCTCTATGGCAAATATTCTTCTTGAGACCAGGAGACCAAAACTGTGCCAAATGAGGTCTCGTCCAGGCTCACACAACTGCAGCAAAATGTCTTTGTACTCAAAATCTCTTTTTGCAACATGTCCTGTTTGTCTTCCTCATTGCTCGCTTGCACCTGTAAGTTAACTTTGTGACTCATAAACCAGTACGCCCTAGACATCTGCACTTTCCAGCATTTCAATATTCCACCTTCATTTTCACTATCAAAATGAATAACTTCAAATTTGTTGTGTAAAATCTGCTCTATTATATGATCCTTTAAAGCTGAAGTATTCTAAATGATATTTACAGAAAAGAAACAGCTGGAGGACAAAAGCATGAAAGAATTGTTAGATGAAGCTGGAAATTGCTTCAGGCGATCCTATATTTTGAGCTCTGCTATTTATTGGGGATTCTACATCAATTTAAATTTCATAATTATAGTGCAAAATTAGCAAGAATCTTAAACTCTGCATCCTTTCAAGGTTCTGTGAAAATCCTGCAACCGTTTCCAATTATTGGCTGCAGCAATACTTTAGTTTTTATCTAAAACCAGATGCAAAAGTGCATTGTCTGCAACTGATCACATTTTTCATTGAAGTAGAACGTTTGATCCAATAATATAATAACTGGTACTGATTGTGTTTTGATTTAAGATCAAATACATGCATAAAAATTGGCAAATGCTTTATGCAGTGCATCCTGAGGCTGGTCTGCGCACAGTTATCAATATAAGGCATTATATAGACTAACAAAATGTTTTCCGATCAGTTACTAGTTGTACAGAGCTTAAGTATTGCTGAAAAGAGACCTGTTGCCAAAGTCTTTCACTTACCAAGACACGTGAATTCCAAATTTCAAACAATCAAAAATTTTATAGTATAGGAGAAGAGGTGCTGATTGGTTGGCTGAGGTTTTACCACAGAAATCCTCGACTATCGGCTCCCCAGTCTTGCAAGTAATTGCAGTAAAAGGTACAAGGCTTGAATATCTCTGCTCGGTTCGTAGAGAATGGATTTCTGCATATGGATGTATGTGGCTTCATGCAAATTTTAAATCGGCCCTGTTACAAGTGCAACTGATTATCTTCAGTTTGTTGACAGAATAGCATACTCTGGTTTAGGCAGTACTTGCTAAACAATTGGGGAATCACATCCAACTGTTGGTGTTCTATTTAGGATTTTATAAGGATGGTTTGGGTGACTACGGTTCCTTGCTTATTATGAACATCCAAAGGAACATCGTCTTATTTACTTAGCCAGTTGCTAGGCTGTATGGCCCGTGTATATGATATCAACCCTGTACTGAAGCTCAAACTACATTACTCTGGTTTGTGATGCACTGAAAATAATTTCAGGTTGATGGCATCCTATTAGTGGAAAAACTCATCACATTGCCACAGCACAGTGGCTCATTTACATTGGTGAGAAGTGACATACTTTCTTATACAGGGATCCATTTTCTGCAAACAAAAATGTGCTATCCTGTACCTCTTTTTCATTTACCTTGAAGTGTAAGGAGCCTATAATACGTGTGCATTAGTGATGTACATTCATTCACTGATTAGCTGTAACACTGCCATGGAGAAAGCAGAATTGATGCGCCAATCAGCTCCCTTTTCTCCAGTGTTATGAACTATTGAGCATTTGAAATTTGGCATTCCTGTCCTGTTTAAATGCATGACAAAGCTACGACAACCTCGCTTTTCAACAATATCAAAGCATTTTCTCTTTTTCTAAGAAAATGACAAAGATTTCTTTGTCAGATGATGTAATGTAGTTTGATCATTGTAATGGATTTGGTCAATGTATGTAAGACTGCTGCATTCATGTTTCGTGAAGAATACTTCTATTTTGAATTCTGTTAGAGAAAATAACAGCTCCAGAGTGTGTTTATCTCCCGTGTCTCTTTTGTTCTAGGTTTTGGATAGTTTGTTAGCTCAATATGGTTCAGTCGAGAACTGCGAACAAGGTAAGCAACTGGAAAACATATTTTTGCTATTTATGGATTGTTATTTACCTGTTAACTGTTCCATTTTTTAAAAAAAATCACTTGTGCTGTCTGTTCTGTAGTAAACACGGAAACAGAGACTGCAGTAGTAAATGTTACGTACTCTACCAAGGAACATGCGAGGCAGTAAGTATTTATTAGTTTGTTTTTTCTTGGTTATTTTAATTGTGGAAACACTAATTAGTGCCAAGAGTTTGTGGCCATCTTGATACACCACTTCAGGACTGACTGCAAAGATTACTTTTTCCTAAACATCAAAGTGAATTTTTTTTCCCATCTCTCCATTTTTCAGTGTCATAGTTGTAAATGTTTGCTCAGCAATACTGAAGTGCTAATGTGGCATGCAGTTGAAGCTATTTTTTAAAATTCATTTGAGGTGGATAGGGGGGCCAGGGTGTAAAATGGTGTCGCTGGCTCAGCCAGCATTTGTTGCCTGTCTGTAGTTGCCCTTGAACGTGATTGGTGAGCTGCCTTCATGAATCACAGCAGTTCATGTGCTGTAGGTAGACACTGAGGAATGGTAATTTATATTTCCAAGCCCAGATGGTGGATGGCTTGCAAATTTTCATCTTGGACTTATCAGGACAGAATCACAAGAACATCAAATTTCCTGATGTTACTTGATAAAATGGTGCTAATTGGTTGGCAAGTTGACTCTGGAAGTGTTAAGACTGAGAATGCAGTAGGGAATGGTTAACTGTTGTGTTTCTGTTTAAATTCAAACCAGGCAACTCAGCTGTAGCCACAGCGCGGCCTTGGGAATTTTTCAGCAGAACTCGAGTTTTTTTTGTTTACATTTTGTTTCTGCTGCATGTTTTGTGCAATGCAAAAGTAAAATACTGTTGATGCTGGAAATCTGAACTTGAATCAGAAAATTATGTAAAACCTCTGGTCAGGTGACAATTGTAGAGCGAGAACCATTCTTTTGGGTTGGTGACCTTTTATCAAAATTGAAAACCTTTAGAAATGCAGCAGTTCTTTTAAACAAGTACTAAGGGAAGAGAAGAAAAGAAAATAGGTAGAAGCCTGGAGTGATTTAAACAAAAAAAAATAGAGCGGGGCCAGTCATTATAGTAATGGACCAGTAAAGAAACAAAACATTGCTGTGGAGGAGCTAGAAATTACAACACCAGAGCTGCTGCCAGCATATGCTGTCTCAACAAGCTTCGAGCAACGGTAAAGATCAGGTGGTGGGGCATTAATTGGTTGTTTGTGTGTGCTCCCATATTCTGGTACTTGACTTCTGACTATACATACTTTACTGCAGTGGTAGTGCACTATAACAAGATTCAGCATACCTTAAACTCACTTGTAGCACAAGGGACTGTTCCAAAAGAGAGGGAAGATCTTTGATATGCTCGTTAAACCTAGGAGAAAGTGACTTCTTAATTCCACTATGATGTAGCATTACTTTTCAGACGCCAACATTTTGGTGAAAGTGAACTGCCACTGTACATTAACGTGTCTCTCATGTTTTCCTTCCTCGTTTTAAGACCTCCTTTACCTCCTTCAGTTCACCCAAAATCACTTCTGCCGGTAGAACTATTCTCCATCTATTCCAGCTAACATCTCTGACATTTTTATCGGTATGCATGATAACACAAAAGTATTACAACTTCTAACTAGGATCTGATATTTTGCTGTTAAGAATCACCTGTTTAAAGTCTTTTTTTAAGTTGCTATGTCCATCTAACATAATGCTAATGTATATTTGAGCTATTTCTTCAGGTGAAGTCAGTCTGCAAACTGTTTCTTGCATATTTATGGGTTTGGCCCAGAAGAGAGCAGACCTTTTTATTTGCTTTTGACGTGAGCCTTGCTGGCATTTATTGCTTAACTATCTTTGTCAAGCTGATGGTAAGTGTCACTGAACTGGTGTAGGTACATTGATAGTAATGTTAGGGATTTTGTCTGGAATCACCCACTTGTGTATGGTTAGGCAGTCTGTCTCCTAACAAGTGCACACTGGATACTAGATTTATATATTTGCGATTATCCTTTCCAAAACTCTACAAAGTGCTTGCTGTTCTCATTGAAAGTCCGTCAGGAAATGAAGATTTTCCTGTATTCTCCTTAAACTTGCAAGTAATTCTATATTTCAAAAAAGAACTTTAACAATTCTACTTATCATGCGTCCTGTCAATAGAAAAATATAAACAGACAGTTATGACTGTCAAAAACAAAATTCTGAAGATGTTGAGACTCTCCCTTTCTCTGGATGGGAGAACGCTGATAAATGGCTTAAAAAATCAAGTTGCGGGTTTTCCTATGAAATAGTAGTGCCCTTACCTCTGAACCAGGGCTCCATGTTCAAGTACCACCTGCTCCAGAGGTGTGTAATAACACCTCGGAACAAGTTGATTAGAAAATATCTCGAAATCTGGTTGGAAAGAAGCTTGTTTGCAATTGTTCTGGAGTAAGAGAACCTCAGTTATTTTATCCCCCTCTCTAGAGATGAACAACATTGAATTGCCTAGACTTGACTGCATTTTTTTTCTGGTTTCTAACCATCTGTTTTAGGTAAATAGTTAATGCTGATAAGTTGTACTCACCAGTTGGTTTGGGAGCTTCTTGGATTGGAGAGGATGGAGTCAGTATAAACACAAGGATAGTTTCTGTGATTTAGAGTCAAAATCTGACTGGTCTGATTTTAAAGTTTGTTTTTTTAGCTCTGCATTTTCTGTGTAATGAAGGAATACAGTATTCACACAATTACTTTGTAGTATAGGACATAATCACTGCTGAAAAGAGACTAAGTCAAAGCTTTTTGTTTTACATTCATCAGGGCTAGGACATAAACCAAACTTTGAAACAGCACCAATATATACATGAGACATTGGTGCTGATTGGTTGGACTGGAGTTGCAGCTGGATCTGTTACTCAGTTAGCTAAGCTTGACAGTTAACCTCAGATCAGACAGGTAAGCTGATTGGTCAGGATATTGCCACTGGGAATTCGGAAGGGATACAAAATCTTTCCCTAGAAATGTTAAAGTCCCATGTGTAATGTGTACTTTTTTTGGAATATAAACACTGCACTCTTGCTTTCTCACACCTAGCACCTTCCCTCAGTCTGCCTCTTCCCTTGTTTATCCTCTTCTCCCCCACCTTGCACCCCATTCCCTTGCTCCCGCATGCTTTCCCTTGCTTGTGCTCTTGTCATCGCCGCCTTTTGTTGTTTCCTCCTCCCTCCACCACTATAAATAAAGACCAAATGGTGTCCAGGGAAGCTCGGGATGCAGGACATCAAGGCAAATTCTGGTACATCCCAGAAAATTTGAGATGATCACTCTTACTAACAGGTGAACCTGAAGCTAAGGAGTGTGGGGGAAAAATCTTAATGTCAAGTAGGCTGTAACAACCTAGGAAATGACAGACCAAAGTAATTGATCCAATAGGGCATCCCCACTCCAGGTGCAAAACTAAGTAAGGATGTATTGGCTTTGGGGTGTGGGAGAACAGCCTAGATTTAATTGTATGTAGACTCTAACTGGTTAAGCTACGAAGAGAGGTTAAAGGATCTAGGGTTGTATTACCTGGAATTTAGAAAGACGGCAGTGAGTTCGTGCGAGCTGTCAAGGTATTGAGGGGAACATTTAAAGTAGATTTAGTGAAGATATGCCCACTATTTAAGGGAGCATTGGAATCATGGGTATAGTCGTGAAAACCTATGGCTGTAATTTCAGTAGTGAAATTAGTCAAGTCTTGTATGCACAAAGGTTGATTACCACTTGTGGACTGTTAGATATTTGCAACTTAATTTATGATGGTTATATTTCTTTTTGTTTGGGGAAATAGGGCAAAGGTGTGTATTTAGTGTTACATTTGCAGATCAGCCATAACTTCAGTGATGGGTAGAACATACTGATCAACTCCTGTGTCCATGTTACAATAAAAAAGTTTGCATAATGACATGGTCAAGCTTTAGTTTTGATAAATGGTCACTGAGCTGAATTCTTCCAAATATTGATAGATCTTGTTCAATGTTTTCTGATTTCCAGTATAAATGTTTTGAGTTGGATAATATTGCAGTTTTCTTTAATCTTAATAAAACCTTGTTAACCTATGGGAAGAAAAGTGCATGTGCATCTAGTCATGAGTGATACTCGTGTATTAACGGTTGCTTCCTTTAATAGGGCAATTGAAAAACTTAATGGTTATATGTTGGAGAATTGCGCACTTAAAGTAACCTACATCCCTGATGAGCTGGCTGGTCAACAGAGCTCACAACAGCCAACCTCTCAAACACGGCGTGGTTTTGGACAACGAGGTCCACCTCGGCAAGGGTCTCCTAATGGTACAGTTAGACCAAAACAGCAGCAGTCTGATGTTCCTTTGAGAATCATGGTTCCCACTCAGTTTGTAGGTGCCATCATTGGGAAGGAGGGAGCAACAATCAGGAATATCACAAAACAAACACAGTCAAAGTAAGTATTACAGCTGCAAATTTTAACATGAACTTAATTACTTGTAATTCCTTTATTAAGACTGTATGCTTTATTTTGTGCTTTTCTTGGGTAAGCGGGGCAAATTATGACAACAGTTGCTGATGTGATCACAGCTCATTGAATTGAAGTACACATCACAGGTGGATACAAGTGCCAAGTTTGTACATTACCTTGATCCCCTCAAATTTGAAGAAGAAAGAAAATTGGCAAGAAAAGGAATTTGACATGTTGACATTTATGGTCCTGGTAGACAGCAATACCTTTTTTAATTCAAACTTCCCATTAATAACTGAAAAGTGACAAGATTTCATATTTTAAACATGAACTGTAACTAACTGTTGATCAAAGCACTATTAACTGAACAGTCTCTATATAGGCAGTTTCCACCTTTTAAACCACCAAATGGAAAACCCCTCCTTATTCTTAACCCTACTGGGAAAAAAAACCACTTTAGGTAAACTTTGAACAGTCCTTTATGGAATTATTCAGTTTTCCCAGAATCAATCCAAAGTGATTAGTTCCCAAGCTTTTTTGGTCTGTTAACTTGCATTCTTAGAACTGTCTTCCACAATGCAGTTTTCTTTTCCTGGAGATGCTTCCTTTATCCCAAACTAGGGAACTCCTCTCATCTGGTTTTTTTTTTTTTTTTTTTAAAACTCTTCGAGTTTGGTCTTTTCAATCCAAACATATTCTATTCCACCACATTGCTGTACATGAACCACAGAGACTTGTTTGGCCTCTACCTCCTGCTTTTCTTTCACGTCCAGTCAGACGCAAACACTCTACGATATTCTGGGAAAGCCTGTAACCTGGCCCTCTTCATCCTACTCCAAATCCTCTGGGACAGTGTAAGATAGAAATGCTTTCTTCGAAAGTCCAACCCTTAGTTGGTCAGTTAGCTGGACAGCTGGTTTGAAACATCTGTAAACATCCCCTTAGCTAAAGAAACACTCACCTCACTACTAGACAGACCAGGGATACAGACACTTGACAACACCAACATCATCAGCAAAGACAGCACCACCCTTAAACTACTGGATCTGTGGCTCGCAACCCATTTTTCCTTCAACAGCAAGATCTATGGACAAATCAACAGAACACCCACGAGATCACCGACATCAGGATTAATAGTGGAAGCCATAATGCGAAGGCTGGAACAGACAGCACTTCCCACCATCTGCTTATGTGGATGACGCCTTTTGTGATTACCAAATGTGCTAAACTGAAAGAAACCCATCTACTCAAACAAAATGCTCACTGGCTTAAAATTCACAGGGAAGAGGAGAACAACAACAGACTTCTCTTCCTGGACATAACAGTCGAAAGGATGGCCAATGGTGAACTCCAGACCAGCGCACACAGGAAGGCCACCCATATGGATCAGGTACTCCAACCATAATAATAGTCATCCCAATACCCACAAATGGAGCTGCATCAAAACACTCTTCAAGCAAGTCGCAACACAGAGCAGCACCCCGGAACTGAGAATACCTACAGCATCTTTTAGAAACAGCGGTTACCCAAAAAGCGTAGTCCGTTGATATCTGCACAACACGTCCAGAAACACTAGTCACCCTTCCATATGTTAAGGACATAGCTGAAATGACCACCAGATTACCCCACTTCTCCCTCCCCCTCCAAGAATCATGGTAACCTGCACACCGACAACTACACTATAACAGTTACTGACCAGAATAAGGGATCCACCAACTAACAGATCTACCAGATACCATGCAAGGACTGCCAAAAACATTACATAGAGCAAACTGGATGGAAACTAGCCATCAGGATTCGTGAACGCCAACTAGCTACCAGGAGGCATGACCACCTATCGCTCATTTTCAATACACGTGGACAAAGAGGGACACCAATTCGACTGGGACAACATAGCCATCCTAGGACAAGCCAAGCGAAGACGCACATGAGAATTCTGGGAGGCCTGGCACTCAAACCGGAATTCCATTAACAAACATGTAGAATTGGACCCCTTATACCAACCATTAAAAACAAATCCGGAAGTGATGCCACCCACCCTAACAAACAGCACATAAATAGTAAGCGGGACAGGAGACCGACGCTTCACCGGAAGCACGCTCATGGTACCTGCATGGTGATGAAATGTTTGTGACAAACTTCCCAGCTCGGTGAGCAAGTCAACAACTGCATCAACGACCCAAGCTACAAATCATCTCAAAAACCTTGTTGGTTTGAAATGCAGAGTGATGCCAGTGACTTGGGTTCAGTTGCCAGATGATGTCATTGTCACTATGAAGAACTCTCTCCTCCACCGCTTCACCCCTCGCCTGAGGCGTGGTGACGCTTGGGTTAAAATCACCAGTCATTTCTTTCTAATGAGAGAGCAGCCATATGTTCCAGGCAATTTTTATCTCCATATAAGCACAACTGGACAACCTGTCATTTTCAACACCATTTCTGGATCAACTTCCACTGATAGTGCACGGGCTGCTGTGATTATCTCTAAGCAGAAATGCCTTGCACCTTCATTCCATAGAAATAACCTAAACCTTCATTGCCGAGTGTGAAAGGAAGCTGCCCAGCTTTGCTAACAGGCAGACTTTAGAGTAGGTCACTCTCTCTCTCTTTCTTTTACCTTTGAATTTTAAAAAAAAATTCAAACTTTAAATCTTTTTTACCTTCTAAATGCAAAAGCACTTAATGATATGAGTGAACAAGAATTTCAGCAGCTGACCATATGCAGGAATTTTTCTTATTCACTTGAGATGTGAGCATCACTGACTGGACCAGCCTGTATTGCTTATCCCTAGTTGCCCTCAAGGTGGTGATGGTGAGTTGCTGTCTTGAACAGTTGCAAACTGTTTGGTAGACCTTCATTAGGGAGGGAGTTTGAGATCTTGATTCAGTGATATTGCCATTCTAAAAATATCGTTCCAAGTCAGGATGATGAGTTGTTTGAAGAGGAGCTTTCAGGTGATGGTGCTCTGACATTTCTGCTGCCTTTAGCCTTGTAAATGACAGTGGCCATGAATCTGAAGGTGAAACCAAACTCTGGGTTCACCTATTCACCTTTGATGTGAAGGTATATTTTAAGAAAACAAAAAAAGTTACAAAAATAATCTTTCGATTCCCTAAGGTTGGCCTTGATATTTAGGGTATTTTGAGTGTTTGTTTTTAATCTGTAACATTTGATCTACAATATGATTGCCAGACAATAAATGAGCCTTTCTTAGTATTGGAATGTACACAGGAAATCTTTTGTCTCGATTTTGAAGTAACTCACTCCTCCTCCTGCCTCCCAAAGTAGCATGCAAAGTCCCAGAAATACCAAACAGAAATGCTTACTTGTACTTCACTTATTTTTGTACAACAAAATGTGTGCAAAATATTTAAATCATTTACTTTAACCGATCATTTACAATTCAAAATTTAATGTTTTTGTTTGCAAGCACACATTATTCTCCACATAATGGGAGAAAAACCCTTTGCAACCTGCACAAGCAGACATGATTTTAAAGTTTCAGAGGAGCAGGAAATTTGATGTTTCAGGTCGGGACCCTTCTTCAGAAAGCCCCATTTCTGGTCTGTTGTGCTTGTCCAGCTCCACACTGTTATCTATGACTCCAGCATAGTCAGTTCTTGCTATCCCTATGATTTAAAATTTGCTCTGAAAGATGGCGCCCCCAAAAATATAGCCTTCCCTCAGTGGGGATTTTCTGCTCTGGCCTGATTTTAAGATGCATGTCAAACTGCTAATGAAGTAAAGAAAATCATTGTTCTTACAGAAAGCACCTTTATATTGTATCTATCGAGTATTGCTCGTGATTAATTTGGAGAATGGCTCATCTTAACTTGTGTGTTGATTTGTGATAGACTTTGTCTTTTTTCGGATGTTTTGCTTTGTATCTGGTTTGCAGATGTTTGTTTTTGGCCAGATATTCTGAGGCGTGGCAATCACGGTTGGTTTGGCACTCTGCTCATATTTCTTTACCTTCGGACTGGCTGTAGTTTGGTGTTTTTTTTTGCGGCTGGGAATTTCAATCCCAGCCCTTTTCTGTTTTTGGAACTGAGGTGCAGCTGAAATCAAGACTATATATTTTTCATCCATTTGTGCAGAGCAATTAGAGGAAGTCACACCACTCCCCTTTCACTGCAGATGGTGTTGTTGACAGTGGGGGTGTCAGATCCTGGGTTTGGCAGTGGTAGAGAGGAAAGGAATAACATTGCGTTGAAAGTAGGCTGGTGTGTTGGGGAGGTTGTTTTCAGGGAGCTTGGGAGGTAGGCTAAATTGGCAGATCAACTTTACAGTCAACTAGGAGATAAAACTAGGTTTCCAATTGTTCAAGTTTTTTCCTGTGTAACTGTATTAATTTTACAGAATCTGCCAAATTCTTTGACACTTAAGCTGCTTTCTTCAGAGGATTTCGGACATGGGGGAATTACCCTTTGGGATCTTCAGTTTCACAGGCAATTCCCATAAAGTGCACACTGCTCAAACAAAACAAATGAGGGGTAACAAGTGCTTTTTACTTTCTGCTTTGTCTCTCCATTCTGTTCTTGGACAACAATGTATTAGCGTATTACACTTGGTTCTCCAGTCACTGGAGCAAAACGGAAGGACTTCTTCAGTATTTGGTTAATAAATTATCTACCACGAGTCTGATTAAAGGCTTTATTTTTTTCTTTCTGGTTAGGTGATGCAGAATATTTTGCTGACCCTTTTTTTTTCTTTTTGAAGCTGTGGATTTTAACCATTTTAGGTTGAGCCCATCTCCAACCCCGTTGCAATGACAAATTTCTAGCTGTGACCCAAACCTACTATTCTATAGAACCCAGTAACTGGGCCGTTGCCCCGGCTGGGGAATCAACATAGATCTTTTAAAAAGAGTGAAACACACTATTTATTGACCTTTTTTTGGTACAGATTTTATTCACATTCTCTCTTCTAATGAGTTTTGCAACTTTGCATTGAATATTCACTCCCTGTCATTTGCATTTAATATTCACCCATCCTCAAAGTTACGAGATGCTTCTTATTATTGAGTAATATCCTTTTGTGTTTAGGATTGATATTCATCGCAAAGATAATGCAGGTGCTGCTGAGAAACCAATAAGTATTCATTCAACACCAGAGGGCTGTTCAGCTGCTTGCAAGATGATAATGGAAATCATGCAGAAAGAAGCTCAGGATACAAAATTGTACGTACATCAAATAACGTTTTCATTTAGATACTTAACGTCGAGCGATTTGTACCTGCAAAGTGGACAGGGGTTTTTTTAAATTGCCAGGATATCCCTCCTTTTGCTTTAAAAGTAATATGTTTGAAGCAATGAAGACATAGGGAACTACAGCATTCTGCAAACCATTTGGTCACTGTCACTAAAAATTTACAGTTCTTCCTTTTAAATTCAGGGCTGTCTGTGTATCGGAACCATTTCACAAGTTCAACACCACTCTAAATCTAAACTGTGCACTTTCACTTCTCTAAACACAAACATTCCTCTGTGGTTAGCACTGTTGCCTCAGTGCCAGGAACTCTAGTTCGATTCCACCCTCAGGCAACTGTCTGTGTGGAGTTTGAGCATTCTTCCTGTGTCTGCGTGGGTTTCTTCCCACAGTCCAGAGATGTGCAGGCTAGGTGGAATTGCCATGCTAAATTGCCCGTAGTGTTCAGGGATGTGTAGCTTAAGTGGGTTATAGGGGGATAGATTTGGATGGGATGCTCTGTGTGTTCTTGGACAACAATGTATTAATGTAATACACTTGGTTCTCCAGTCATTAGAGCAAAACAGAAGGAATCCCTACAGTGTGGAAACAGGCCTTCAGTCCAACAAGTCCACACTGTAGGGATTCTATGATTTCCAGAATTTGTGCAACTTGCAAGTTAGTTGGGGTTCAGTTTTTGTACTTAAATCATTTTTATCCCAAAATCTTCAATTTGGCCTTCTGTATTAAAGCCATAAGCACATTATCAGTTACCTTTCTCTTTACCCAAGATGTCCTCTCTACCTTTTATGGTAAGCCTGCAGTGTAAAGCCAATAGTGGGAAATTCTGGAGTTGAGGCAGCTAAGTCTGCATGCAACCTTCTGGGTTCTTATCATCTGGGTAGATGCAGCGTTCTTTACACTGTGTTGTACAAAGGCAATGGTACTAATTTGTGTCAGTAGTTATAGTGTGGCATTGCCCTGAAGATTGAGAATGCTGGATGCTTTTGTTCGTTATTCGGTAAATTAAACAAATTGCCATCTGTAAAAATTGAAAAGTAGGATTAAAATCTCATTTACATAATTGCAGCACAGAAGAAATACCTTTAAAAATTCTAGCACATAACAACTTTGTTGGACGACTCATTGGGAAAGAAGGAAGAAACCTGAAAAAAATTGAACAAGATACTGACACTAAAATCACAATTTCTCCGTAAGTTTTGGAACTCTGGATTTCGGTTTTCTGTGCATTGTCTTGCTAATCATTTGACAAAACATGAAATGCTTATGTTGGTTCTGCAGGTTGCAAGACTTAACACTTTATAATCCAGAAAGAACCATTACAATAAAAAGCAGTATTGAAGCATCTTCCAAAGCTGAAGAAGAAATTATGAAGAAAATTAGAGAATCTTATGATAATGATATGGCTGCTATGAATGTAAGTGATTAGCACATGTTTAGTGTATATACAGTGCTCTTATTCCATATGAGTTGTATTATCATTTTGGGATATTTGATAATCATTCTCTTTGAATAGTTACTATAAATGGATCTTTTCCTTTGTTCCAAAATCTGTTTCTCGGGTTTTTGCTAAGTTGAGGTTTGAGAAATAATCCATTTTGCATATACTGCAATCTGGTTGGTTTTCAGAAAATCTTGTGCTCACTCCATATTCTCAGAAATCAAACTTGAACAAATTTTTACAGACTAAAATAACACACCTTTGCGGTTCTACCTAAGTGTGGCTGAGATTGACGTCTGCTTGTATTTATTTTGGCTGAAAAATATGCTTTATGCATAAAATGTCTAATAGTCAATATAGTCAAGCAGCCATACCTATCATTGTACAATACAAAACAATTGTAATGCAAAGCAGTTAGGTTAAACATAGTACCTTAGACCCTTGGTCAAATTCCACATGAAACATTTTCTCGTGCAAGCAACCAAGGATTTTACACACATTGCAGGCCCTCATTGTTCAACAATAATAGGGCTCGAAACTCTGGGCATTCCCCATGGAACTTCACTGCAAATTGGCTCAGCTCAAGAGAGAGTCATAGCTGTACAGCACAGAAGAGACCCATTGAACCTGCACTGACCAATCCATATTAATCCCACTTTTCAGCACTTGGCCCATAGCCTCGAATGCTATCGAGGAATGGTGTCCTGGTACACGTTGCCTCCAGAAAACAGAAAAAATCTAAATTGACTGGTTGCTGTCAATATTAAGTGCCTTTTGAATAGTAGGTGCCACTTGATGGTACTATCTAATAATAAGTCATTGATGTTCTAGCACAGCTACTTGGCTGCAGACCTCATTATGTTTTTTGTTCCAGGTGTGTACGGCAACTGATTAGTAGCTGATGGCACGTGTGTGTGTGTATGTGTATGATAGAAAGCATGGCATAGGGAGTGCTTGTAAACCGGAGGATGTTGTGAAAACATGCCAACAGCTGGAATCCTAACTGCCATAGGAGACAGCTGTGATGATAAACCAATTGTGGTTGCCCCAGGAAAGGCTGAGAGACTTCTGCAGTTTCCCCAGCTCCGTTACCTTCAGTTGTGAAAACAGTAACCTTTCATCTGTCATAAGGTCAGAAGAAGTGCTGTTGACTGAGCATTAGTATTCTGCTCCATTCATAACTCCTACAATAATGACACTGTATGTACCAGTCTATGGCAGGACCTGGACAACATCCAGACTTGGACAAATGACAAATAACATTTACGTTGCATAAATGGCAGATAATAACCAGTTACCAGGGATCAGCTGCCTTAGCCTGACCTTGAACTTCCCGTTGCTGTAAACTGGCATAGATTGCATCATTATCAGGAATTTGTGAATGAAGATAAACTGGTTTTAGGTAAACAGTCCCACTGCTGACATGATGACTGGAAGGGTCATCACTGAAACAGCTGAGATGTTCTTTTAACAATGTCATAGGGCTCAAATCTTTCTGTACTCTGACACCAAAGTTTCCTTTTGACTCTCATTTGACCTCCACTTTTTGTTTGGGCTACATGTTGTCCGATCTTGGTCTGATTGTAATGATGGAACTTACTTCCACCTCTTTCATTTAGTGGTTGTGCTTTGGTCTGGATTAGGATTACGATGAGGCCTAGAATGGATCGGTTCCATCAGAACTTGAATTAAGCTTTAGTGAATAGGATAATAATTGGTGATGAAAGCATATGCATACCTTGTGTGCGGGGCACAATTTCAAAATTTGTAAACCATATGAGATTTGGAAGTGCAGGAATTGTGAACATAGAACGGTACAGCACAGTACAGGCCCTTTGGCCCATGATGTTGTGCCGAACTTTTTACCCTAATCCTAAGGTCTATCTAACCTCCACCCCTACCTTGTACTATCATCCATATGCCTATCTAATAGCTGCTTAAATGCCTCTAATGAGGCTGATTCCACTACCCTCTCCAGCAATGCATTCCACGCCCCTACCACTCTGAGTAAAGAACCTACCTCTTGACGTCTCCCCTGTATCTACCTCCACTCAGTCTAAAACTATGCCCCCTCGTAATAGCTACCTCCACCCTAGGAAAAAGGTCTCTGGCTGTCCACTCTATCTATACCTCTGATCATTTTGTATACCTCTATCAAGGCACCTCTCATCCTTCGTCGTTCTAAAGAGAAAAGTCCTAGCTCTCTCAACCTTTCCTCGTAAGACCTTCCCTCCGTTCCAGGCATTATCCTGGTAAATCTCCTCTGCACCTTTTCCAACGCTTCCACATCTTTCCTGTAATGAGGTGACCAGAACTGGACACAATACTCCAGATGTGGCCAAACCAGGCTTTTGTGTAGCTGGAGCATAACTTCACGGTTCTTGAACTCGATCCCTCTATTAATGAAAGCTAACACACCATACGCCTTCTTAACAACTCTGTCCACCTGGGTGACAGCTTTCAGGGAACTGTGGACATGAACCCCAAGATCCCTCTGCTCCTACACACTGCCAAGAATCTTTCCGTTAACCCTGTATTCTGCTTTCAAGTTTGTCCTTCCAAAATGAATCACCTCATTTTTCAGGGTTAAACGCCATCTGCCACTTCTCAGCCCAGCTCTGCATCCTGTCAGTGTCCCTTTGTAACCTAGAACAGCCCTCCGCACTGTCCACAACGCAACCCACCTTTGTGTCGTCTGCGAACTTGCTAATCCACCCTTACGCTCCTTCATCCAAATCATTTACAAAAATCACAAATAGAACAGGACCCAGGACAGATCCTTGTGGTACACCACTCGTAATTGAGCACCATGTTGAATATTTTCCGTTCGCTACCACCCTTTGTCTTCTAAGGGTCAGCCAATTCTGAATCCAATCTGCCACATTTCCCCCTATCCCATGCCTCCTTACCTTCTGCATGAGCCTACCATGGGGAACCTTATCAAACGCCTTGCTTAAATCCATGTATACCACATCCACTGCTCTACCTTCATCCATGTGTTTGGTCACCTCTTCAAAAAATTCAGTGAGGTTTGTGAGGCATGATCTACCCCTCACAAATCCATGCTGACTATCACGAATCAAACTGTGCCTTTCCAAGTGATCATAAATCCTATCTCTTCGAACCCTTTCCAATAATTTGGCCACCACTGATGTAAAACTAACTGGCCTGTAATTTCTGGGGTTATCCCTATTCCCTTTTTTGAACAAGGGAATGACATTTGCCTCTCTCCAATCTTCCGGCACTATACCTGTGGACAGTGAGGACCAAAAGATCATCGCCAAAGGCCCTGCAATCTCTTCCCTCGCTTCCCATAGAATCCTTGGATAAATCCCATCAGGCCCGGGGGACTTATCTATCTTCAACTTCCTCAAAATTCCTAGCACATCTGACCTTCTCTAGCCAACCAGCCTGTTTCACACTGACCTCCTCTACTCCCTCTTAGTTGTGAATACCAAAGAAACGTATTCATTAAGGACCTCTCCTATCTCTTTAGACTCCGTGCACAAATTCCCTTTACAATCCTTGACCGGCCCTACCCTTTCTCTGGTCATTCTCTTATTCCTCACGTACATGTAAAAAGCCTTGGAGTTTTCCTTGATCCTATCTGCCAAAGTTTTCTCATGCCCCCTTGTAGCTCTCCTCAGCCCTTTCTTCAGCTCCTTCCTGGCTAACTTGTATCCCTGTAGAGCCTTTTCCGATCCTTGTTTCCTAAACCTTACATAAGCATCCTTCTTCCTCTTAACCGGTTGTTCGACCTCTTGAGAACCAAGGCTCCCTCACTCGACTGCATCTTCCCTGCCTGCTAGGGACAAACATATCAAGCACACGCAGTATGCATTCCTTAGACAATCTCCACATTTCAATAGTGCTCTTCCCTGACAGCATCTGTTCCCAACTTATGTTACCCAGTTCTTGCCTAACAGAAACTTGGAGCAGGATAGTAAAGAACTTCAAAAGGACATGCAAATTGGTGGAATGGGTAGATATGTGACAGATGAAATTTAGTGCAAAGAAATCTGAAGTGCTTATTTTTCTTAGTAACACTGACAATAAAACATGTATTGCCTTTTAGAAATTAACGCATCTCAGTGTATGTGTGACTGAGTCATGCAAGATGGCAGGAGGTTTGAGAGTATGTTTAATAAACCATAAGCATCTTGGGCTTTTCTTAGTAGAAGGGTAGAATCCAATAGCAAGGAAATTGTTTAAATCTATATAGTACACCATTATTGCCTGAACTGAAGCTTTACATCCTGTTCTGAGTGCCATGCTTTAGCAATATGTGAAGGTATTAGAGTGAATGCAGATGAGATTGACCAAAATAGTTCCAAGGGTGAGGAACTCTAGTTATGTAGGAAGATTGGCAAAGTATCGACTGTTCTCCTTGGAGAAGAGAAAATGATAGGAGATTTGACAAAAGTATTCAAAATCTTGGGGATGTGGACAGAGTAGCTGGCAGAATTATTGTTTCCATTTGGTAGAATGATTGGAAACCAGAGGACACTGATTTTTAAGGTAATTAGCAAAAAAAACAAGATAGTGACGTGGGGAAGATGTCTTCCACGTAGTGAATGTTTATATCTGTAGTACACTCCAAGTGTGGTGGAAGCAGGCTCAAATGATTATCCAATTCCTCACGAATGCCTTGAATGTACGAGAAGAATATGCTTAGCACTGGAGAGAATGCAGGGGAGTTTTGCGAGGTGAATTGCTCCTTCAGAGAGCCAAAATTAACACTAACACTAAGGGATGAATGGCCATTTCATGCCGCAACCATTGTGTGAATAAGAAGTATCCATGCAATTAACTAAGTGAATTTTCTACTTTTGCTGTCCAGATTTGACACTTGGAGACAAGTGAGCTTTCTATATTGCTCCATTAAACACACTATCTAGACCCCCTCAATATTTAATTTAAGACATTATTTTCAACATTGTTACTGCACCCCTTTTCCCCTCATCTGTCCTTTTTTCTGAAGATTCCTGTGGTGTACAACCTTGATTCCCTATTGCACCCAGCTAAAGGCAAAGTCTCAAGCTCTGATAAAATAGGTCCCCAAAATTGAATTTCTGCTTCTAAATTTTTTTTTTTTTTTTTTTGTTCCATCTTCCATTTCTCTCCTTATTGTCACTGCTTCTTCCCCAAAAAAAGTTTCCAGTTCTGACCTTTCATGTTCTAACAGCATTTTCAGCTGTTCGTGAACACTCATTGTTAATATGGATGCAGTTGGCCAACAGCAACTGTGTTCTCTAAGGCAGGAAGAGTGGTATTAAGCTTGCCTTTTACCATCTTGATAGATCTAGTTAAGACTTTTTTTGGAATCTATTACTGTACAAAATTTGAGTATGTTTAGTTTACCAAACAATCCTGATCCAGTAGCAGTTCCAGTATGTTGAGGAAGTCCTTAGATTATGTTTTGATTGTTACTAGTGGTTGAGCCTAATTTTAATGCTGATAATTATTCAGAATCCTTTATTGTGTGTACTTTTCAGTACTTGCAAGAAAGTGAATACTTTCTGTCCTACCTTGTCAAGACAGAACTAGCTGCCTAAAGGAAAATAGTGCCACCATTGCAAGCAAATTCTGCATTAATGTATAGCAATGAAATGTTATAAAATCAAAAATAGCTGTTCATTACATCAAGTGCATAATTCTGAATACACTGGATTCTCAGTACATGATCTGACGGTATCTGGGTAGACTTGATGTTGAGATCCATTGACCTTTAATTCAAAAATGGCAATATGTTTTGTGGCTCTCATTTTCTACGTGAAAGGTGATTTATAAATGCTAGTTATCATCACTGAAGAAGATCAAGAATTTAATTGATGCTTGTGTTCTTTCACAAATCCTGTGATGTTTTAAGAAAAGCAAATTTACAATGGTTTTGGTTAAAGCTTTTATGCAATAACACTTTTTTTTTTTTTTTTTAAATTTTGCAGCTTCAAGCACATTTAATCCCTGGCCTAAACCTGAAAGCCCTAGGCTTGTTTCCTCAATCTTCACCTGTACTGCCACCGCCTTCTGTGCCTCCTGCTTACACCCCATTTGGGGTAAGTGCTTAAAGATGCCCAAGGCATTTTTCATAGGCCATTGCTTAATATATTTGAATAATGTTAAACTTTTCAGATGTCGCTCAAGTTTTCACAGCTTTCTGGATGATTCAGTGATTTGGGCTCATGCTGTTGCCTTTACTTTAGTGGTAAATACATTACTGCATTGCTGGAAAATCTTCATTTCTGGAAGGTACATTTACCCATATGGTGTTGGTTAAATTGATCAATTTAAAGAACTATTGGCTGTCTAATGTCTAGAATTCTTAACGTTGTTATATTTGATGTAATTGGTATTCATTGTCATTCCCTGAACAGTAATGAAGGGCATCTGGGGGATAAATATTCGTAACCAGTAAGAGTTAACATTAACCTGTTGGGCCTGATTCTGTTCTGTTCTTGTTACTGTTACTGTTTGAAATGATGAGTAGCAGTGCCCTTGTAAGACTTAATTCACCTGAACTGCAAAGCCCTGAAGAAATTAATATCTTTGTGGTGCTTTTAATTGCCTGTGTATTTCATCTCGTTTTGAGTGTTAGCGTTCAAGCCAGTGCAAATAAATTTGCAGTTTATTGCTGGGACTTTTTTTTTTTGCCTTGTATACTAAATAGAATTACAAACGAGAAATGCATGAGCCTAAGAAAATATCCAAGCCTTAAATGACCTGGGGTAAGTCATCAATGTTTGTTTTTGAGGTATTGAAATGATTTTAATAATGCATTTTGGGTTAGATTAAGATACTTAATAGGTTTGAGATTCATATACATATCAAATTACAAGTAAAAGTGCATTTGCTACATGTATATTCCCAATGAATCATTTATGGAGAAATATAGAAACAGGTGAAAGTTCTGTTATCCTTTTAATCTAACTATAAAGCTTCTGTGTATTTAGATGTACGTGTTCATTAATGCAGTTCTGTTGTTGCTATGGAGTATGGACAGATATTCGTGTTTTTCTGATCTTGCTGCTATAGGAAGGATGTTGTGCAACTTGAAAAGATTCCGAAAAGATTTATGAGCATGTTGCCAGGGTTTGAGCTATAAGGCTGGGGCTATCTTGCCTGGAGGCTAACTGGTGACCTTAGAAAGGTTTATAACATCACAAGGTGCATGGATAGGGTAAATAGACCAAGGTCTTTTTTTCCCCCGTGGTGGGGTAGTCCAAAACTAAAGGGCATAGGTTTAAGGTGAGAGGGGTCAGATTTAAAAGGCACCCGAGGGGCAACTTTCATGCAGAGTGTCTTGCGTGTATGGAATGAACTGCCAGAGGTGGTGCAGGCTGGTACAATTGGAACATTTGAAAGGCATCTGGATGGGTATATGAATAGGAAGGGTTTAGAGGGATATGGGCCAAACGCTGGCAAGTGGGATTAGATTTATATAGGATATCTGGTCGGCATGGATGAGTTGGACTGAAGGGTCTGTTTCCGTGCTGTACATCAATGACTGTGTGGCATTTGTCATTTTATCAGGGCAGTCACGTTTGAAGTTTAGCAACTTTATTTGTTTTATCAGTAAATGAAGCAGTTGCCTATGCCGGCAACTTCCCATAAGTGGCAATGGGATAAAAGGGCAACTGCAAAACAGTTTTCTATTTGTAGAATTGTGGAGAAGGAGGCATAGGAGTTCAAAATTTAAAAATATGCTGAAGGTGATGTTTCAGTTGTAATATGGAGAATGTATTGAAAATGAACATGTCTTTAAAGCAGTCTTCCAGGATAAGCCACTTGCTGAATATCTGATGAGCAAATTTCTTTATCCATTCCTTAATGATCCATAATTTACTTCAGATAAACCTGGAAAGATGGTGATCAAGAGGAGGAATCTAGACTGATTTACTTTAACAAAAGTGCTAGAGGCCAGTTGTATTCCTCCTACTATGTAGCTGCATACATCTAACCGACAGGAATAGTTCATCACTGAAACATATTTGTTTTTTTGTTTAAAACTTTGTTTAAAACTTTGTTTGAAATTTGGTTGCTCAAAGTAATTGTAAGCATGTTGATTTAATTCACCTGAAGGTAGAATTTTAATGTAGAAACTTTTAAAAGTAGAATACTTGGATATTAGTTTACAATACGGCGTGATCACAATTTACAATTGCAGTGAATATAATCTTGATATACTAGACTATCTTCCACATGCTGCACACACAGCAGGTGATTAAGTGTAATCTGATGAAGCCAAATTATATGACAGAACATCATGTTACATCTTCACACAATATATATGCAAATGGGAAATTATTAAACTAACTTTGGTATTTTTCCCAAGTTGAATTCAAAATTTGCAGTCATTTGGGAAGCAACAAAGTAGAATTGGAGCATGCACCAAAGCCGCTTAAAGAGCTAGGAAAAACAAAATGGGGTTGATTAATGTTTTCTTGCACTTGGCAGTCGTAGTGTAGTATGACAAGTTCACATGGTGCATTTGTATAATATGACTAATGTTTGACAAGCGTTTAACAATTTCTTTTGGTAGGTGTTTGGTTTTTTTATATAAAAGGTTACAGGTGTACATGCTACTATTCAGCATACGGAAAGCAACGTAACTTGGAGTCTACCAATCTCTTGTGTGTATTTTCTTGAACTCCCAGTAAAAGATAACAAACATACCTCTAAGATGCTGGTTCTAATCTTGACCATAGCACTTTGATTTGTAGAATGAAGAACAAAGAACAATACAGCAGCACAGGAACAGGACCTTTTGCCCACCAAGCCTGTGCTGACATGTGACACCTTACCTTTCCAAATTAAATACTCTTGCTTTCTTGAAAGAAATGCTTTTACTGATCCAAGAGGCTATTTACCATGGAGCTAAGTAGGTAACAAACCATTAAACACTCCTGGTATTCGTTATAAAGTGAGATTTCCTTTTCTGACTAAGGAATCTCCTGCCACTTCATTTTACTTATTGGGTTTTCTGCCTTTTCACTGCTGTTCGACACCAGATAGCCTGTTTGTTTCTGGAGTGCTGCTCAGGACCATTTCTTGTGAGCCATTATCTCCCTCCTGGATTTCCAGCACACCAATTTTTTTGGAGAGCTCTGGTATTTGATTTCCTGAACCTACACAAATGCCTTTCATTACTTCTTGGACAAGCCACTTCTCTTGCGCGACACCCATCCTTTCATTCTAAGCTGTGACCACAGCTGCTGCTATTGTGATCATTTTCTGGAGTAGACCTTCCAAACTTCTGCACAGCGCCCCCACTGTGACCCAATTTTGAACCTTAAACTTGTTGTGATCCCTCAATGAGCACTGAGAACAGAATGAGGAACTGCCAGGAGGGTACTGGGGAGAAGACCAGTGTAAACAGGGGACAGGGAGAGAAGATCTGCGAAAGAAGCTGAAGGGAACTGGATGTAACAGTACAGAACTCTGCAGTGGCTGTAACTTGGGCATGACTCCAATTGGCGTCCCAATCCCACTTTGGGAAACCTTGAGCAGTTGGGACTTCCTAAATACTTAGGTCATCTGTTGGTGAGACATTTAGGGCTTAGTGTGTTTTTGGATGCATGCATGATCCTTGATAGTCTGTTTAGTGCAATTCATGTGACTTCCTTGTATTGCCCCTCTGTTTAACTGGATGTAAACACAAACATCATACTTACCCATGCCTACCTACAACCAATTGGTATTTTATCTCCTGCTTGAGAAATATTTTGCTACCTAGCTTTAAATGCTTTCTTTAACAGAAGCTTTGTTCCTATGAGCTCCTTCCCATTCTGATTCACTTGTGCAATTTTATGATCTTTAGTTGCCATCAACATATATGCCACCATTATTACAAACCCATTTTTTTTCAGAAACATTTCAATTTTAAAAATTTTCTGGTGGCTTATGCCTAATTCAGGTTCTGTAGTGTATACCCAAATTATTTAGTACCTACTTGACTATTAATGCTGTTGTCTCAGATCTTACAGTCTGAATCCACTTAGTTAAAATGGTGACCATGGCGATTACTAGGGTACGTACTTAAAAGAAACAAATGGCAATTTTTTTCTCCCCACTATGTAGAATGCACAGCATGAAAATGGAGCTGGAGCTGGTGTTGGACCATTTGATCCCTTAAGCTTGTTTTGCTATTCAACAAATAGGTGACCTTTTTACCTAATTTTAACCTTCTGCACAATCTTTGAATATCTTAATGCTCAACAGTCTATTAACCTCTGTTTTGAATGTATGCAGTGACTGATCATTCACTGCTCTTTGAGTAGAAAATTCCAAAGGTTCACAACCTTTTTTTTTTGAATGAAGAAATTCCCTTCCTCCCTATTTGGAATGGCTTACCCTTTTAAGCCAGAGACTGATCCTGTTTTCCAGATTCTCCAGCCAGGAGAAACCTTTCTCTGCCCTGTCAAGATGCTCAAGAATTCTGTTTCAATGAGATCATCTGGTAATAACTTAAACTCCTATGGAATATAGACCCAGTCTGTTCCACCTATCTTCCTGGGGATAGTACTCTCCTTCCAGGATCCAGATCGTGAACCTTCATTGCACATCTTGCAGGGAAAGTATATTTTTCTTTATGTAGCAAGACCAAATCTTCTCGGTGCTTTTGAGTAACCTTGCTTATGCCCTTTGTGGTTACAGTAAGAATTGTTTTTTTTTTCTCTAATAACGGTTCCTTTGTAACAAAAGTAAGGGCAACTTGCCTTCCTAATTGCTTCTTATATCTGTATGTTAATATTCCCAGTATAAGGACATCCTGGTCACTCCTGAATGCATGTCCTAATCTCTAACCATTCATAAGTTTTGCACTTGCAACTTTATTCCATCTGCATTATTTTGTTCACTCATCCAGCCCTCTATCTTTTCACAGCATTGTTGCATCCTCGAAGCTTAATTTGTTACCTAACTTTGTATCTGCAGCAAAGTTTATGTTTCACTAAAGTAAGTTTATCAAATTCATTAATGTGGAAGATAAATAGGTGAGACCCAGTTGCTGATCCTCATGGTACTCTACAAGCTTGCCAACCTGAACTGTCCTGTCTGT